AGCAAAAGCTATGGCTAATGAATGTGAATCAAATTTTATTTCGGTAAAAGGTCCTCAATTATTAACTATGTGGTTTGGTGAACCAGAAGCTAATGTCCGTGATGTATTTGACAAAGCTCGTCAAGCAGCACCATGCGTACTTTTTTTTGATGAATTAGATGCAATTGGTAAGATAAAAAGAAAAGTAATAAAGAGAATTTTTTTCTTTTTTTCTTTTTTTCTTTTTTAGCTAAATCTCGTGGTGGTAGTGGTGTAACTGATCGTGTTTTTAATCAAATTTTAACTGAAATGGATGGTAGGGGTACCAAGAACAATGTTTTCATTATTGGTGCCACCAATCGACCGGATATTATTGATTCAACTATACTTCGACCAGGTAAGAAAATGAAAAATTAGTTATTTTATTTAGAAAATTACGATTTTTTGTTTTGTTTTTATTTAGGTCGTCTTGATCAATTGATTTATATTCCATTACCCGATAACGGATCACGTAGGGCTATTATAAAAGCTTCTTTAAGCAAATCATTTGTAGTTAAAGATGATGATATCAATTATTTGACTAATGCAACCAACGGTTTTACTGGTGCTGATTTAACAACAATTTGTCAACGAGCTGTTGCATTAGCTATAAAAGAATCCAATAAAGAAAAACGACAACAAATCCATCTTACAACAACGAATTCTGATGAAACAGATCCAGTACCAATTTGTCGCGATCATTTTAAGCACGCTATGAAATTTCCTCGACGATTAGTTAGTGATAATGATAGGCGTCAATATGAAGTGTTTGCTCAAACATTACAAGGTACTGAAGATCAACATTTAATGGAACAAATGCATGAAGAGGTAATAATTTAATATCAAAAAAGACAAAAAGTCCATTTTTTATGTTTAGACGAGACGAATGCAACATGTTATTACTGAAAATACAAAAAACAAGTGAAGAAAAAAACAAGCAATCCATGATTTCCATGGTTATTTTTTCATATTTTGAAAATAAATATTGAAAAAAAGAAAGAACTTGATTATCTACTAAAGAACTATGATCGTACAATGAATCGATAGTCGTAATAATAGTTATATCAAGATCACGAATATAAAGAGAATCAAGTGCTAATCGATCAAATCGTCGGTTGATATCCACAAGTGAATAAAGAATATCAATCATATTGAGTTTATGAAAAATGATAGAAAAAATTTCATCTGGTAAATCGAGTATATTGAGATAATTGTTATTTAAATTGTTCATATCTAATTCATACAATGTATTCATGTCAATCTATATATATTTTCTCATTGCCATGTCTACCAAAACAATGACGAATAAATATCGATGTCATCATATTGTTCTATGATCAAGGTAACAAACAGACAAGACTAATTCAAAGTAAACACATTCGTTAACTTGATTGTATATCAAAAATGGCATGAAGTTAAAAGATGTTATTTTTTCTGCTAGTATATTTTGAAGTAATTTCTTTTCGTTCAAAACGATAAGATGAGTTTGTTGATGCCAAGAAAGATAGTTTACGTTTATTGAGACGGATAACAACTTGATATTATACATACATCTAGTCCAATTATTGAAATTGTTTTCAACTTCAGATTGCATGCGATCAGAAATTAATGTTAATTTATTCTTTTATTTGAGTTAGATTCAAAAAAGGACCATTTTTACATTTAGAATGAAAACTACTCTTTTTCTATGTCTTCAAATAATTGGGGAAGGAGTATTTTTCAATGTACATATAACTCTGCAGCATCGCATAGTTTTGTATGATTTTTTTTATAAAATAAGAAACGATCATTAATAGTTGATATTTCTTTATATTTGAGAAATATCATTAGGCTATAAATACAACATTTATCATGTTTTTCAGTTTATCGAATAAATCAAAATGAGAATACATCTACTTATACGACGAAGGAAAATAAAGCCAAAAATCTTTCGAACATACTAATGGCTCAAGTGTAAGTAATTTTTTCACCTTAGCACAATTGCGTCGCGTTTCTTCTCTTTTAAAATCCTTTGTTACATATTTTAAGTGAGAAACAACGACTCCCAATTCCGTCAGAGAAGGCATATATGTCTTTGTTTCATTTAGAAATTGTTCAACATAATCCCTATGTGCATATCTGACATCGAGTCTAGTCAGATGAGGGTATTCAATACTTGAATATAATTGACAATTGTCAGATGAAAGTGTCATACCATCATGTAATATCGATGATTTTTTATTAAAAATACGTAAATACTTCAGTAATGGAAACGATCGAGCAATTCGAGCGAAGAATTCATGTTTGAATGGATTAATATCTTCTAGAAGTAAAAACACAACGTAACTGAATACAATATTTGGAAATTTATTGCCAAGATCTTCCAGATAATCAAATCGAAAAGGAAGTGAGAAAATCGAGCATGCAGCTATATCACCATTAATATAATTGACTATACTAGTGACATGTTGTTGTCTAAATGTTTGTTGAATATCTTCACTAGATAATTTGTAGGATAAGCCAACCATATCGACATAAGTACAAATATAGAAAGTGAATGAATCAAGTTGTGGCATATTATCTAAAATATCATGTTGAACATAAGTACCATCAATGACTCTATTTCGACTTTCTATACGAAGATATAAAGTTAATTTTTCCAAATATGACATCCGGCGAAGAAGTGATACAATATTATCATATTGTTCAAATCGAAAGAGCGATTTTAATGTGAAACATTTTAGATTAAATAATTTATCCTAAAAAAAAAAAGAAAAATGTATTTTTTTGATAATCTACAAGATTAAGTCATAGGCATCATTATATTTTACACATGCTGTCTAATCTATATCCTGTCCGTTAATAACTACAAATGACAAATCTATTAGTTTGATTTTCTCATTTTACAGCATAACAAACGAGTGTTGAAAGAACAATTCAAGTTTCAGACAAACTTTCAATCATATCTCAATTATTGGAAAAAAATTTATTATAGAAAAACTTTCATTCGATTCTATGCTGAGTATCATTCATATATGATCAATCATAAAACAGAGCAGTCTACTTTTCAATGTGAAACTTATCCGATAAAATATTATATAATTATTATTTCTAGCAAGTACAAAGTTAATGTCATATATTCATGAACACTTATCACTTTTTCCCCTTGTCAACATAAAACTCATCGATATTCAAGTTTGGATTTTTTTAGATCAATTCTAACTGCATTAAAATAGTAATAATCTTCATATCAGAAATAAAAAAATGTTTGTAAAAACTTACCGTATTCTGAACAATTCCTGAAGACTTGTCTATAGCATATACATTAACATACAATGTTGTCAATTTTCTAAGACGACCATCAAGTAAATAAACGCAATCATCAAAAGTTTTCACATTGATATATAAATGAGTAAGAATCGAAGATGAAAAAGTAGTCGATGGCAAATCACAAATGATAAACCTGGATAATAAGTGAGAACAGATGGTTGTATGATACTTAGATTTTTTAAATTTTTGAAGAAGATCAATATATGACTATATACATTTGTAGTATAAGTTTTCAATGAACTTATCATTCCATCTTGATCATTATTGACAAGAATAAGATTTGTAATTTGTTCTTGGAAAATAGGTCGAAGTGATGATTTATCTAAAGGAGAAAAACAATGAAATGAAACAAATATTGTATTCTATTCTATTTAATACTTTTATTATTTCTCAACTAACTTAATTCATATTAAATGTTGACCTGTAAAATAATTTAAAACAGTTCCTTCGTGGAAATGAAAAATTTTAAGTTCAGTTAGATTCGGATAGTCGATTGCAAGAAGAGTACGTTCCATAAGAATGGGATCAAGAATAAAACATTTGACATTATGATGAATTCTTGGTAATATATAGTTGCTGAATCGATCGAGTAAAGGATTATCATCAATGGAGACAAACTTCAGAATGTTGGTGAAAGTGTTCTCTTGTGCAAGAATGTTAAGTCGTCCATTATTTATATCCAATAAAGAATAAAGTACATCAATATTGTTCAACTTTTTCAAAATAATAAGTAATATTTCATCAGGTAAATCCAGAAGATGAACATTTGATCGGTTCATATTTTATTATGACTGTGATGCTTTTCACTACGACAGAGCTATATATACACATATTGTTCATTGTTTGTATCTCACCATTTTAACCTCAAACAGACGGAAAAAAAGAAAATGAAATAACCAACGTGATTGGTCTATTCCAAGTTAAATCATCTTTTTTAGGCAATTTATTCGTCAATTTAGTCTTAATTCGTTTTATTTTGTTTTCATTCTGTTTGAGCGTTTTGCGCCATTGT